GTAGTAGTAGTAGTAGTAGTAGTATTAGTAGTAGTAGTAGTAGTAGTAGTAGTAGTAGTAGTAGTAGTAGTAATAATAGTAACGGTAATCGGCGGAGGAGGAGGAGGAGGAGGAGACACTCGCTGCCCATAGTACTACCCACAGCAGCAGCAACACCAACACCAACTTCACGACCGAACCCGGCAAGCCCTCTTCACCTACTACGGCGCGGCGCCCCCAACGGCTTTCGACTACAGCCGCCGAGAGCTCCCAGACCCTTTCCGCCTGGAAGGGCCTCCCCATGACCTGCCATGTACGGGCTGGCCATTTGAACGACGATCCAAAGCGGGTCTTACGCGAGATGTCATCGCTGCCTTACGGCGGCTTAAACGGGCCGATGATATCGCTGCCTCACGCGGTGTTTTACGCGGGCCGCCGGCGCGGCACGCCACACGGGAGACGAGGGCGCCCACGCGCGACCTCACGCGGGCAGCTTCCGCGCCAGAGTCGGCGCAGACGACTCCGTGTTTGCGCGGCGCTCACTTGGTGGATCGGGGGCCGAGGAGAGGAGGAGGAGGAGGAGGAGGAGGAGGAGGAGGAGGAGGAGGAGGAGGAGGAAGAGGAGGAGGAGGAGGGGGAGGCGACCCACGCCGAGCGACGCCCCTCGGGCCCCCTCCTCCTCCTCCTCCTCTCCTCGGCGCGGGGGGGGCGGGTGCGGGCATGGACATCGCCGAGTGGGCCCACCTCTGCACCTCATATCTTGCCCTGTGCGACCGCACCCGCCAGCCACCCTTTCCTGTACTTCCACGCCCGCGGGCCGGCCGCGGCCGCCCCGCCTCCACCCCCGCCTCACCACCAGGAGCACGAGAGCACGATCAGGAAATTGCGGGCCCCTGACTGCCCCCCCCTCCCCCTTGCCCGATGCCCCTCGTCGGACCACCAGTTGCACCCCCCGCCAACGGCCGTCCGATCAATTTTCCCTAAGGCCCCCCTCCCGCCCACCTCGATGGTGCGCGCGGGGGATGGGGACGGCTGCGCTTCTCGGAGGACAAAAGCGGCCATCTTCGAGCTTCGAGCTTTGCGGAGAAGGAGGCAAAGGAGGAGGAGGAGGAGGAGGAGGAGGAGGAGGAGAAGGAGGAGGAGGAGGAAGAGGAGGAGGAGGAGGAGGAGGATGAGGAGGAGGAGGAGGAGAAGGAGGAGGAGGAGGAGGAGGAGAACTAGGAGGAGGAAGAGGAAAACAACAAGGAGGAGGACAAGGAAAATGACAAGGAGTAGGACAAGGAGTAGGACAAGGAGGAGGATGATGATGATGAGGAGCAGGAGGAGGAGGAGGAGAAGGAGGAGGAGGAGGAGGAGGAGGAATAGGAGGTGCGCGCCGACCGAAAGCGTCGATAGCCCAAACTAACAACGACGGGCTACGTATGGCAAGATGGGGTGCAACACGGAAAGCAGGAGGATGAGGATGAGGAGGAGGAGGAGGAGGAGGAGGAGGAGGAGGAGGGGGAGGAAGAGGAGGAGGAGGAGGAGGAGGAGGAGGAGGAGGAGGAGGAGGAGGAGGAGGATGAGGAGGAGGAGGATGAGGAGGTGGGCGCCGACCAAAAACGTCGACAACCGAAACAAACAACGACTGGCTATGGCAAGAGGGAACATACAACGGAAAGCCCGTGAGGCAGGACGGCAACCACGTTGTGATTGCGTCCGCCACGAGCCGCCGTCATCAATCCAGCCCCCCCCCCCCTGGAGGTGGATGCAAGCCCGCGATGGCGCTGCTCAGCTTTTTGTTTCTGCTTGTCCCGAGTGGACGGAATGACCGAAGCCCGAGGCAAGGACCCAAGAGGGGCCGCGGGACACCACGGGGCAATATAAGGAAGTCACAGCAAGCAGTGCAAATGCAGACCCGTCCGATCTGGGACATACATGGTCGCGATCGTTGAACTCCTGAAGCGCCACGGCCCCCGTCCCCGGAGGGGGAGGAGGTGTGGGGGGCAGGAGGGTCAGCAGCCGCGACAGCAGGAGGCTCGGAAAGGGGGCGGACGAGGAGGAGATAGCAGCACCAGCCGCTGCAAGCGCAACCTCGACCGCCTGAACCTAAAGGGCTTGGGCATGTGGCCCCAAAGTGCGGAGCCAGTCCTCAGCCTTCCAGGCCGATGTGGAACTACGTTTGCACACCCGTTGGCTGCCGTTGAACAGGTGGAGCAGGGTGCTAAGGGACCGAGCTCCGACGAAACAAAACTTCCATCGCACCTTGCCCGAACTAGCACCCATCCTGAATTCATGCTTGTGAAACGACAGCTTAATAGGCGCTGGAAACGGTTTGACGGGCAACGGAAGAGGAGGGATATCAGTCAACCGCCCAAGCCTAGCTAACCTGGCCGCCGCCCACGACACATACTGGATAGTAGTTTTATGGAACTGCAGCTCGGCCTCGACGGCCTTGCAACTTCCCCGGGATGCCATCGCACGCCGAGTGGCCAATTTAGCAAAGCAGTCGGCCCACGCATTTCCTACCCGAGCGACCAAGTCGCATCCTCGCTCGTAGGCCTGCTCGATGGTGCGTCGGGCAGGGGTCCGCGCGAAGGACAGGGGTTCGGGGGCGCCGCGGCGTTCGCTATGAGCGAAGATGGACCTCCAACCTCCAGACTGCAGCGTACTTCTGTATCCCTTTTGCCAGCTCGGGGCCCCTACTCTGCCCTTCCCGAACAAGGGGGGGCATATCGGTTGCAAAGACTTTTAAAGTTTGGGGTTCACGCGGACAGCTTGCAGAGCAGCCGCGCGATCAGCAAATCAAGCTGCTTGGAAGAGGTCCAACCGCATTCCCAGAGAGCGCGCGCGCGGGAAGGAGGTGAGTGCCTAACTGGTCGATGGCCCCGCCAGCCCCGCGCACCTCTGGCGCCGAAGACCCCTGGGCGCTTCCGTCGCTAAACAGCACGGGGCCCCACGCACCCCGAACGTCGCCCCACTCCCAGACCTCCAGGATCTCCTTTGACCGAAGGCATGCGAAACGTGCGCCGCGTTCCAGACCGGGCTGCCATGGGGCCGCGCCGGAGCGCGAAGCGCACTCCGATGAGAAAGCAGCCGCTCTGGCAATGCATCCAAGCCGATCATCAGTTCTCTCGCCTCGGGCTCTAGGAGTTGGTCGCAGTCGCACCGGATGCGGCCGAAAGAGCCATCCGGCGCCGAGCAGGCGCGGCGCGTCGCCCCCGCGCGGCCAGCCGAGGCGCCGTCGGGAAGCGGTCGGCCCAGGGCGCCCTCGGGGCGCCGAGCTGTTTGGGCGGCACCTCGCTCGGGATGTTCCTGAGCGCCCTCTCCCAGATGGCGGTGGGGGCCTCCTCGACGTTGGGGACGGCATTCAGCAGCTTCTGCATCTGCCATATCTTGACACCTGACTCTGGGTGTCCCCTCATGTCGGCGGGGGCCACAGGTAGCGAGTAGTAGACGGCGCCTGGGTCCTTGCGCCAATGATGCAGGGGCGCGCAGCCCCGGCCAGTGCGCCGTAGGGTGAGGATTGTCGCAGCGATAGGGGCCCAGGTGAGGCCCGCCTGTGCGCGAGAAACCAATCTGGCCCAAGCATATCGCACATCGTTGAGAAGGGCCCGACTTCCCCACGCAAAGCAACGAATTCGGCACAACGTATAAGTCGCGGCATCGAAAATAGGATCGTACTGTAGCTGCCACCGACAATGCAAGTGCCGAGCGTTAGAGGCGCGAGCAGGGACCCCGACGATGAGCGCCGCGACGGACTTCACCTGCTCCAGCACCTCATCGGGTGTTCCTGAGTCGCCCGAGCCATGGCCCACGGACGGCTGCGCCACCGACCTCCATAAAATCGAAGCCTTCCGCCCAGCGACGCCCATGGATATCGGCAGGTGGTACTTGCGCTAAAGCAACTTGCGGACGCAGTCTCGCCCTTGTCGACGAGAGGGGCGAATTTCCATGGTATCGTGCCCGAGGTTGCGCATCCATGATCGGATGGGGATTCGCCCGCGCAGTCGTGCGGCCTCAGCCCGCGACGCACGGGTGGCGGCCGCAAGTCCAGACTTCTTGAAGTTGAGTCGCAACCCCAGCTCGACGGAGTCCTGCTGGAAGATGCACCGCCTTGGGCAGGCGCGCGATGCCCAACTTGCTGGGGCCCGCTCGCCCGCAAGCATGCGATGCTGCGGCGGGACAGGCGCTATCTTGATGCGAAGGATCGCCCTCAGCGTGAGCAGCTCCAGCATGCCCCCAGCGTGTGTGCAGCCAGCGAAGGGCCCCTGCTCGGTGCACGCCGCGTCGGAGATCGAGCCGTGTCCCTTCAGTCGCCGAGGAATCCTGTGCTGCTGGGTGGGCATCCACAACATGCGCGGTGGGTAGCCCCATAATATGCCCTCCTTCAAGAGCTGCGGGGGGCGCGCAAGGTCGCGGGCCTTCGCAAGGTCGGGGAGGGCGAGGACCGTCGCGACGAAGCAACCCCTCAGCACCCCAATCTCGGCGAACAGGTTGTGCTCGAAGGCGCTGTCGCTGGAGGTGCAGTGCGTGCGCGTGCCCGAGGGCTCCTCGCATCGGTGTCCCGCTGACCAGTTGCGCGTGCTGGGCCTTCGCAGCCGCCCCCAGATCCTGAGGATGGTGTCCAGCACCGCGATGGGTCGACGCCCTGACTCTGGCTTCGGTGTGCGGCGCATCATGGCCCATCTGCAGTCCTGGGGCCGCGTCAGTAGATCCTCGCAGCGCTGGGGGAGAGCTGCCAGCCCCCCCCAAAAACTTGAATGGGTAGGCGCCACAAGATGCGAATATGCAGTTCGGTTGGCCCAGCAGCCGTCTTGCTCGCATAAGACAACATAACCTCACGAACCTCCTTAGCGCCGATGCATGGTAGGTCTGGCCATTGAACAGCATCAGGTCGGGGGCGCCGCCGATGCGCCCCCCAGTTGGGCCTCCATGGCTCGCGTGGCCCAGGCCTTGGGTGCGGGCGGCAGATGCATCTTCCATGGTGTGCTGGGTAGCCTCCTCCTTTGCGGCCTCGCCGAGGCTCTCGAAGGACGGGCAAATCCACGCATCCAGGCCCGACTCGAAGAAGGCGACGAGCTGCGGCGGCAAGCTCGCATGTGTGGCCCGACTGCGCAGCGCATTAGCCAAGTACGAGTTCACCTCGATCAGCGACTCCAGACTGTTGGAGCAGTGCATGGGGTTGAAACTCGAGCAAACGTGGGCCATCTGGGATCGCATCATGGGCCCCCGAAGCCGGGTGCGCTCCCTGCCGATGTGGCCCGTCCGCTTGGCCGCCGTGCGCCCAGCCGGCGTGGTGGGCCGCTTGGCGATGCGCTTGCAGGGGGGCCCCCATGCCACCTGCCTCCAGACAAACTGAGGCGACCCAGCGCGTCCGCGGTGGGCCAGCGCCTCGGGCCCGCCAGGTCGCGCCAGTTGGCGAGCTCGGCCTCGACGCCGTCTATGACGCAGCCCGGAGTCTTGGCAAGGTCCTTGGCGTCCGAGGCCTCGTGGATGAGATCAGAGTCCCAATCCGTGGGGCAGCGAGCAATGCCCGCGGGCACCTGGCGAAACAAAAAACGCTCGGGGTTGCTCGGGCACCGGCCGCCGCGGCGGAAAATCCCGGGCCTGCATCCGCACCTCCTCGGGGGGGTGAGGGTAGGGGCCAGTTCCCTCGTCGACCCTGACCTCGTAGTGGAGCTGCGCTGCGAGGTTGAGCGAGGCGACGAAGAAGTCCAAGGTCGTGCCTGGGGTCGCCTGCATGCGTGTCGGCAGCGCGGGGGTGAAGGTCGCGGCGCCGACCGACTGGCCCCGCGGGTGCGCGAGGGCGACGCTGGGCTCGTTGTTCCAACCGCCGCCGACGGTCTATTCGCGCCCTCGGCCATTCAACTTGCAGAAGGCGTGCGCCACGTTCCAGATGTGGGCCGTGTTGATGGGCCCCACGCGGTCCAGGTCTAGTTGCAGGCTGCCGACGACGAAGCCGCCGCGGACGCGCCAGTGGACGCGGGCGAAGAGCAGCCGCCCAGGGGGCGCCAGCGCGTCGTCAAGCTCGGGTGTAGAAATGACGACGCCGGCACGGACCAGCATCGCCGCGCCTCCGACGGAGCCGCTCTCAGACTTCTCGCTCGGGAGAGCAGGGGCCCAGTAGCCGTGCCGGCCCAAGTCGCGCGCCCGCCTTGTAGCCTGCTGGGGCCTCTCCTCGATCACGTGGCGCTCCTGCGCGATGGGGGCCTGCGCCGAGGCCGTGGGGGGGCAGTCGAAAAAGCGGCCGTGGGGCGTGACATTGGCCGTGGCGATGATGCCCGTGGCGCTAGCCGCGCGGGGGTCAAAGGAAACCTCTCGCGCGCCTGGAGGGGCAGAAGCCAGGGTGACCCCGTCCGCGGTGCCAGTGCTGGAAGTTGCCGCCGATGAACTTCCCGAAGCCGATCCTGCACAAGGAGTCGCCGCAATCGCGCAGCTGGAGGCCGAGGGGGTAGAGCGAGACGCCGGCGCCGAAGGACGGATGGCCGCCGCAATCGCAGCGCCCGTGGCCGAAGCGGAACTCGGCGCGCCTGACCCTCCAGCGATTCCGAGATGCGGGGTCAACCTGGCCGCGCGCCCGGAGCTGGGCTCGCGCTCGTGGGCAGGGGGCGCGCGCCGTGAGGCAGTCGCCTCCTTCCCTGGGTCAGGGCAGCCCGTGGGGCGAGGAATCTGCAAGGAGCGGCTGGGCGGCGTAATGGGCGCAGGGCGATCCCAGCGCACGCAATTATCAGGAGGCCCAGGTACATCCCCAGGAGAATGTGCATCTTAAGACTCCTCCAACTCATGATCGGCAAACGGGTCGTGGGCCCCAGGTTGGGGCTCGCCCGCAGGGGGCGCACGTGCCTTGCACATGCAGAGCGCGAAGATCAGGGCCAGGAGCAGCCACGTGGGTCCTCCACTACTTCTTCCTGCCCTTGCCCAGCTTCTTGCTGGACTGTTGGATGCGATTTGCCTGATTGTGCACCTCTGGCTCGTCTGTGGGCTGCTCCCAACCCACCGTCAGCATGAACGCCTTAAGCTCCTCCAGCTCCAGCGAGTCCACGTCGGCCTCCTGATCCATGGGAGTGCCATGAGCAGGGGCAAGCCGCTCAGGAGCAGCAGGCTCGACTACTGCAGGTGGGGCAGCGCGAGCAGCGGACGCCTTCGCGTCGTGGTCCGCCTAAGCTTTGCGGACCCTATCCACGAGCTGGACGACCTGATGCATGCAGGGCTCGGATTGCGCTCTTGGCCGGCGCCCAGGTGTGTGATGACCGAACTGCTCAAGGTTGATGACGAAGCCATCGAGCACCGCGTCGGTTGCCGCCGCAGACTCGACAGGAATCTTGCTCTGCAACAGCTAAAGGTGCTCGCGTTCCAGCTCCATCTTGGCCACGCGCTTGGCGTCGATCTGCGCGCGCATGCCCACGAGGAGCTCCTCCTTTTGCTTGATGATGCGTTCCTCGGCCTCCACATCCGACTCGAGCTTCTGGGTTGCCTTGTCCATGGCCGTGATCCGATTGACGAACCCATGGGCCTGGGAGGCGAGGGGCTTGGCCGCCTGGAACTCGGTCCGTAGCACCTTGGCCCGCTCGGCGTGCGCATCGTAGCCCTGGGGTGTCGACGGCTCGACGCCCATGGCCTTCGCGCTAGCAGCCATGGTGGCCAGCATCGCGTCCAAGGCCCTGAGCTCAACCGTCCGCTTGTCCGCCTCGGGCTCAGGCTCGGCTGCGGGGGCCTTGTCTGCTGCCTTGGCCTGGAGCTTGGACCCGAGGCTCTGGAGGCGCTTCTGCAACGCGGCGATCTCCTTGTCCTTGGCGGCCGTCGCTCCAGCCAGGGGGCTTGGGCTTCGGCAGCGTGGGGGACTCGAGGTAGCGGAGAAAACACTTGCCCTCGCAGAGCCGCAAAGATGGCAAAACACAACGTCAGGGTGATTGACCCATGGCATTCCAGTGACCTCCGACGCGCATGACTTGCAGCACCAGCGTCGAGTGGCGGCATCACGGCGCCTGGGTGGCGACATGCAGCCGTCGTGCCGGGTGAGGGAGTGCGGCGGCCACGTCGCGTATGAAGACAAATGGACCGTGTCCACGGTGCCACTTCGAAGACGTTGGACACAAGCGCGAGCTTGCTCAACAACAACTCGCGCCGAAATGGCTGGATGAGGAGGAGGAGGAGGAGACGGAGGAGAAGGAGAAGGAGGAGGAGGAGGAGGAGGAGGAGGGTTGAGGAGGAGGAGGAGGAGGAGGATAAGGAGAAGGAGGAGGAGGAAAAGGAGGAGGAGGAGGAGGAGGAGGACAAAGAGGAGGAGGCGGCGCAGCGCGCCCGTGCCGGGTGTTCTCCTCGAGCTGCGCGCCCGCATAGATGAGCCGCTGCTCCGCCGCCCGTACGCCCATCGCGGCCTCAACGACGACGACGACGACGCCGACACCGACGACGAGGACGACGAGGACGACGACGGGGACGCCGCCGACGCGTTTGCTGGGTGCTGGCTGCGACGAAAGCGCCGACGCCGCCGACGACGACGAGGAAGATGCCGAGGAGGACGGCGCCGACGACGAGGACGACGAGATCGCCTGCGACGACGACGACCGCGAGGAAGACGACGGCGGCGGCAGGAACATCGCGGCCTTGATCTGGGTCGCCGCCGCCGCCGCTGCCGCCGTCGTCGGCGGCGTCGCCCCCGCCGCCGTCGACGTCGTCGTCGTCGTCGTCGTCGTCGTCGTCTTCGTCGTCGTCGTCGTCGTCGTCGGTCGGTGCCGTCGGTGCCGTCGGCGTCGCCGTCGCCGTCGGCGTCGTCGTCGCCGTCGCGGCTCTCCGCCGCCCGTGGTTGCCCCATCGCTCGCCTCGATCTGGGCCTTCAGCTGTGCGATCGTGGTGCTCGGCTCGGGGTCGAGCTCGACGGCCTCGCCGGGACAGCGCTGGGCGTCTGCGTCGGCGGCGTCGTCGTCGCCGCCGTCGCCTTTGAACTCTCACTACTGAAGAATAATTGCTGTTGATTCTCCCCCCCCCCCTTCCGGTGACCATTGAGTTTTTTCAATTAAAGTGCTTCCCCCGGGGCTCGGACCCTGTTCTTTGTCAGGGAACGTCACGGGGCTCAAACTGAGCCCGTGGCCCCCGGTTTACAACAACAGCGGCTCCCGCCTGATACTTCCTCGCAATTTATTCCCAAATGGCGCTCTCGCGCGGGACTTCCTCAGAAGTCATTTACGCATCGCGCTCTCGCCTGGGACTTCTTCGCAATTTATTCAAACGATGCGCCCTCGGCGCTCAGGAATCACGCTCTCGCCTCAGCTTTTCGCGCGATTTACTTGGGGATCACGCCATCGCTGGGGACTTCCTCGCGATTCATGCAGGACCCACGCTTCAGCAACCCGCCTGCTCGACCTGGTCGCCTGGGCCCGCATTCCCAACCTGCCCGCTACGGGTTTGCCCGTCTGGTTCTACCACTTGTTTTCTGCTCCTTGCCCCCCTCCTGCAAATGTCTCTCGTGCTCCATTCTTCTCCCTCCCCCTTCCACCCGTCCTCTTTTCCCTTGTTTTAGGGGCTGCAGTAAGTGCACGTGGCAGGTAAGGAAGCTATACCCCCAAGGGGGTGCAATCAAAAACGACGAGGGCTGGTACCGAGGGTTTGGGATATACGTATTGATTGGCACGTGAGCATATATAAGCGAAGCATCTTAAACTTGCTGTTGTTGTCGTTGTGGTTGCTGTTGTTGCTGTCGTTATTGTAGTAGTGATCGTAGTAGTAGTAGTAGTAGTAGTAGTAGTAGTAGTAGTAGTAGTAGTAGTAGTAGTAGTAGTAGTAATAGTAGTCGTAGTCGTAGTAGTAGTAGTAGTAGTAGTAGTAGTAGTAGTAGTAGTAGTAGCAGTAGTAGTACTAGTAGTAGTAGTAGTAGTAGTAGTCGTCGTCGTCGTCGTCGTCGTCGTCGTCGTCGTCGTCGTCGTCGTCGTCGTCGTCGTCGTAGTAGTAGTAGTAGTAGTAGTAGTAGTAGTTGTTGTTGTTGCTGCTGCGGTCCTTGTTGTTATTGTTGTTGTTGTTGCTGCTGCTGCTGTTGTTGTTGTTGTGGTTGTTGCTGTTGTTGTTGTTGTTGTTGTTGTTGTTGTTGAATGGTAATTACTAAACAATTATTCTTGTTGGACCCCTTATAGGCGCCCTGGCGCTCTCGCCGAGGCGCCGGCTGTATTTTCATTGAAAACGAGGCTCACTCTCAAGCGGTTTGGGGGACCGCCCAAACCGGCCCCCCAACAACAACAACGCTCCCGTTCGGGACTTCCTCCTTTTCTACTCAGAGCCAATGCTCTTGCTCGCCGCCGAAAACCGCCGCCCAAACAAAACCAGCGCTCCCGCTCAAGACTTCTTCCCGTTTTACGCTGGACTGGCGCGCTACTCTTTCTCTCATCGGCGCCGCCCCGAGCAGAAGCAGCGCTCCCGCTCGATACTTCCTCTTTTTTTGCTCAGAGCCGGTGCTCTTGCTCGCCGCCGAAGACCGCCGCCTCAACAAAACCAGCGCTCCCGCTTGAGACTTCCTCCCGTTTTGCGCTGGACTGGCGCCCTGCTCTCTTGTCAATGGGCGCCGACCCCAGCAAGAACAATGCTCCCGCTCGAGGCTTCCTTCCTTTTTCCTCAGGACGGTGCTCTTCCTCGCCGCCGACAGCCCCCGTCCCGACGAAACTCGAGACTTCTTCCCTCCTTACTCAAGACGGTGTTCCTCCTCGCCGCCGACAACCGCCGTTCCAACAGAACCAGCGCTCCCGATCGAGACTTCGTTTTGTTTTACGCTGGACTAGCGTCCAACTTTCTGATGCATTGGCGCCGCGCCCAGCAACAGCAGCACCCCTGCTCGAGACTTCCTCCCTTTCTATTCAGGGCCAGGTCATTGCCTCGCCGCCGACAGCCCCCATCCCCACCAAACCAATCCTGTCGTTCGAAATTTCCTTGTGCTTTACCCTTGGCTGGGGCTCCACTGGCGATCTCGCATCGGCGCAGCAGGGCGCGGGCATGTGTTTTCGAGGCGGGATATGTTGAAATTCCTCGGAGGAGGTGTTTGCAAGACCTCATTGGGCGTGATATCTGGGAATGGGAATAACGAGCCCCCGCGTTTGAACATTAATCCCCCATGATGGGGATGGTTGTCATGATGGTCGCATGCTGCGTGTGGAAGCATCGCGCATAAGGGTAAATTGATTGTTATTGGTGTTGTTGCCGTTGTTGTTGTTGTGTTGTGTGTTGTGTGTTGTGTGTTGTGGTTGTTGTGGTTGTTGTGGTTGTTGTGGTTGTTGTGGTTGTTGTTGTTGTTGCTGCTGCTGCTGCTGTTGTTGTTGTTGTTGTTGTTGTTGTTGTTGTTGTTGTTGTTGTTGTTGTGTGTTGCTGTGTTTGTTTGTTTGTTTGTTTGTTTATTGTCGTCGTCGCAATCATCGCCGTCGTCGCCGCCGCCGCCGCCGTCGCCGCCGTCACCGCCGCCGCCGCCGCCGTCGTCGGCGGCGGCGGCGTCAGCGGCGAGCTCGACGGCCTCGCCAGCCAGCGAGCGCACCACGACGCGCATCGGCCCCTGGCGGCAGCCCGCCGCGGCCGGGCGGCCGGGCGGCGGGCGGGCGCCGCGGCGGCTGGAGGAAGCCCAGATCTCCGACGATATGGTGAGGGCGTTGGATCCCCGACGTGATCGCGTCGTGCAAAGATCAGGACGGGAGGTCTTTGGCAATTTTCGGCCCCGGGGGGCCCTCGCCGGGCCTCGGGACCGTCGAGAACCGACTCAGGACGAAAGAGCGGTCCCGGGGAAAGGGTCGGGACTTCCAGGGTCGCCGTCCTGCAAAAATCCAGACGTCGCACGTCTGGGGTCCAGACCCGCAGATACAGAATCCAGGGTCTGGAAGCCAGTAGGACACCGATGAAGGCTCGGCCATGGATATCACCGCCGCCTTCCGCAGATAATTAAGGAGCCCTCCAGGGTCTGGAGCCTCCTGGGCCCATTCCTTCACGAGCGCCCCCGCCGTATGCTATAGTTTCAATCCCGGCGCTTTGCCTCGGTGGCGGCCCCTGGGGCCCGCTGCCTCGGGCCCCAGGGCCACCGGAAACTCACCTGGGGCGCAGAGCTGGCCCCGGGGAAGGGGTCGGGAGCCGCAGGGCCGCGCCTTTTGCTGTTCCTGTTCCCGTTCTTGTTCTCGTCGTGCTCGTTTTTCCTACGGCATCGCGACGAATCCTGTGCTCCAGGCGTCGTGCATATCGGAAGGTCCAGCTGGCTAAATCCGCAATGTCGCACCATGCCCATGATTTTACAGGCCGCGGATTTCGGGCGGCGCGCACAGGGGGGTAGGGGGAGGGGGGAAAGCTTCTTAGGAGGCTGCTTCTTAGAAGGCATCAGCCTTACATCCACAGACAAGGCCAACGCCTTCTAAGAAGCAGAGGTGCTTCTAAGAAACCTTCCCCCCTCCCTCTGCCCCCCTCTCCAGACCCCCGACGTCACGATTTTTCCAGGAAGTCGCCCCCCAGAGGTCTCGACCCCTTACCCAAGACCACTTCTTCATCCCGAATCGTTGTTTCACATCCCCGAGGCCCGCCGAGGGCCCCCAGAAGGGGGAAGATAGCGAAAACCTCCCGCCGTGTTCTTTATTTTGCTGCTGCTCCTTCGTGTTCTGTTATGGCACAGTGACGCGAGGGGGTCACACTCTGCGCGTGGCCGAGATCGAACACATCGCGTCGGCGGATGTCTGGGCAGGAGGAGGAGGAGGAGGAGGAGGAGGAGGAGGAGGAGGAGAAGGAGGAGGAG